GGAATTTATTGCAAGGTAAGAAGATTTTCTGGACTCTTTTGGCAGCTAAAAGATTAGCAAGACAGCCTCCTGCAATGACAGATTGGGCAGAAGACTCGGTGGATTTTTTGACTTAAATTATGAACGGACAAATTTATGGATATTTGGGTCACCTTTGTTGAAAATCTGCATAATTATCTTTAACAACTGTAGAATGTCTTGCTACACACAAATATCTAGGGATATGACACTACATATATGCATATGTATGTACACAGTCATATGTATATGTATTTCTTTAAATCATAGGTGAGAAATTGGTTACTATTTATTTATCCTTTTTCCTATCTCTCTGTCTGTCTCTCTCCTCTCTCTTTCTCTTTTTTCTCTCCCTGTGTTGTTTAGGTTTTGTTCTGTAACACAAAATAAAAATAAATTAGATATATGCATTTTCATAGTTTAGTTTATGGAGGAACACAATATTAGTGTGCACTTTTTAAAGTATATTTTCCTCATAGGAGGAAAAAATGTTTACATTGAGAATCAAAGTGCACTCCTTGACCTTGGAGTTTGGAGAACTTCAAAGAGCTTGAAACACACTTAAGGGTAAAAAGTGTGGCCCTGAAACCTTTCAGAGAAACAGACTAAATGGAATTCTCCCCTTCTGCTCTTGTATCCATTTCCCTTCCATTTCTCTAGTATCTCCTATGTCATATTTTAGATTTAAGATTTGTTATGCTCTCATGTGCAGCAAATATAACGAAGTGTCTTCTGGCACCTTACAGACTAACCCAGTTACTGTGGCAGAGTCATCAGATGCAGCGTAAGATCAGATGAAAGTGAGAACCTTGGTTCAAAGGCCTCCCTTTGGTAATCTGGAAAGTTCTGCCTGCACTTGGATAGAATTGTTTAAAAGATCCCACATTTTAAGGGGGCAGAGCTGTTCCCTCATCCTTGCCTATGAACCGGAGGCATACAGCCAGTGGTAGCTTCTCATATCCATCACCAATGTGGAAGTTTTTCTGTCTGGGTTCTTCTCCACCCCGGGGTATTAATGCCTGTTTTTTGTTTTTAACTGCAGGTGAACTGTACCCACCTTTATGACATTATGTTCTCAACTTATAGCATCAAGTGCTTTGCAAACATGAGCTAATCATATTTTCTTAACGTGGAGCTTGCAATGGCCAAATTGCTTTTTGTGTGCAATATGTGCCAGGTAAGAGGAACAGGAGGTGAGAGATAAAGTGTACCCATGAATCCAGAGACCACGTTTCCTGTATCAGGACCCTCCCTTGTTCTAGCATTCACCTGTAATCACTTCTATCCATTTACAGATGAAGGAAAGGAAACCAGTCTGTTTCTAGATTGTCTTGAATGCATGAGAAAGAGAAATAAAGACCATTATTCACTGTCCAATGCACTTGATTATCTTGCTGAGCCATTCTGCATCACAGAAGAGGTTATTATGATCAACAGAATAATTCATCTCTGGATTCCAAGGGCTCCCCCTCCCAACTTCCATGTCACACTGACTTTTCAGTTTGGCACCTCTCTCCCTCCTAGCAGGCAATGCCTACTGAGATATGTATGAGACATGCTCATTCTCCATGGCAATAACAGGTGGGTGATGTTGATAGCTGCAGGGAGACATTAGCAAAAACCATAACTCAAGGCATGACCCAGTTGTTTGAGTTCATCCGTCTGGCAGCAGCATGAATGAAACTGGCAAGAGAGCCATTCTCCGGTTTTCTGCAGAGACTCCCACTGGTGTGGAAGAGCTATTCCAAAAGTGGCAGCTGCCCACACAGCATCCTGGCTTCCAACAGAGGAACACACACGGAACACACCTGTCTTCTCATCCTTTAGGGTTCTACTGATCCTGTTCCATTGACACCCCCCCCACCCCCCCCCCCCCACCACTGCAGCACAATGCAGAAGGCTCTTCGGGGCTCTTTTCTCTTTCTGTTAGAAGGACTTGCTAGATGTGAATGGCCAAGAAGTTGATGGCTCTTTTCATTACAAACATATTTTGAAAACATCATCTCACTCTTTCCAGATGGATGGGTGTGTTAGTCTGCATGCAAGAACAGTATAGGAATCCCATGACACCTAAAAGACCAGCTTATTTTTCATGATAGCATAAATTTCCATGTATCTGATGAAGCAAATGGTATCCAGAATGTTTTGTGTCATAAATAAAGGCATTAGAGCCAAATCCAATCTGGATGCCCATTACTGGGAGGATTACAGCCATATCATGCAGGGTAGGAGGAGTGGAGAGGTGAAGGTGTCCATTCAAGTTCACCTCCAAGGTAATTTTGCAACCTTGGGGGGAGCAATCAGCAAGGTACCTTTGCACTGATGTGGAAACGGGACAAGAGAGTGTTCCCATCTCTGACCTCAGAGTTTCCCAGGTCGAGAACAGGAATCTGACTTATCTGATGGCTATAGAGGTGCATTCTAGCAGCCAGGGAAGTGGGATCTGTTTCTTTCAAAACACAGCATTCCCAGTGATAAAGATCAGATGCAGAATGTGAACTAGATGGAGAAGGAAAGGGATTGGAATGTGGTCCAGAAATGTTGAGGTTAACGAGTGAGATTTGTCAGCTGCTGGGGACCAAACCACTTTGAGTTCATGGGGAAACACTGTAGAACAGGGAGGGTCTGAGGAGGAGGGGTGGGCATTCATTAACCCAGTGAGCTGAACAAGTGGCCTGAACAAGTAAGATTAAGTAACATCCAGCATTCCCACTCTCTGGCTCCCAAGCCACAAAAACCTCCCTGAGGGTGCAGTCAAGCTTTTTGGGAAAGGAAGGCAGGAAGGCTCAGAAAGAGATGTTCCCATAAACCAGAAATATTTGATCAATATACTTTGATGAAGAAATCTGCATCACTAACAGTCCTGTCTAGCTCAAACAAAAGCCTTCTGTTCAGATCTGCTGGTAAGGAAAAAGGGGAGGATAGACTCATGGTATCACCATGGTTTGGTGCCTTATCTTTAAGGTGTCACAAGACACTCTGGCACCATTCTTCTGCAATGCATTAACTCCAGGTCAACCTGCAGTCCCAGCTTCAGGGTGTGAAATGGCCAGTTGTCCACTGCCCATTGCCTTTGTGTTTATGTGCATGGATATGTGCTAGAAGATGCAACCAGCCTTCCCACTCAGGGATAAACTGGACACAATACCCTGTGTACAATTAGCAATGTCTTAATGGCTCCTGCCAACCTTGCAGTTTGAAAGCATGCAAATGCAAGTAGATGAAAAGGTACCACTTTGGTGGGCAGGTAACAGTGTTCTATGCACTTTGGTGTTTAGTCATGCCGACCACATGACCACGGAGACTGTCTGCGGACAAACGCTGGCTCCCTCAGCTAGGAAACAGAGATGAGCACCGCCCCCTAGAGTCAGGCATAACTGGACTTAATGTCAAGGGGAAACCTTTACCTTTACTTTTTAATGGTTTAAATCAGAGACTGTTGAGTGACAATGATCCAGACAATATCACAGACACTATTGTAATGGGGAGCACCTTGACATACACAGTGATTTAAAACCAAACCAAACCAAACACACCTTTGTCCTGAGTCAAACCACAGGAAATAGAACTGAATCCCTTGATAAATTGTGCTCCAGCAATTCAGCGCAATTCATCAAGCCATTCAACTGTATTTCCTATGTTTTGAATCAGGACAGACGGGTTGTGGTTTTTAATTGTACCACAAGTCACCATGTCTGTGCTATCACCCAACATTTTGTGAATGACAAGTGTCTGGGAATGATCACCTTTCCCTGCTTTTTGCATTTCAGTTCACTCTAGTGGCAGAGTTTACATTTCCTTCTTCACAGCATGTGTTATCTATACCCGCTTTCTTCAGTTTACTAATTCGTGTGTCTGATAAAGTGAGCCTGTAGCTTATCAAAGCTTGTAGCAGAATAAATTTGCAGCTCTTCCACGTGCCACAAGACTCGGTTGTTTTTGCTGCAGCACACTGACACGGTCACTTCTCTCAAAATTCACACGCAGCCACATGCGTTTCATAGACGTGCCAAATTGTACACCACTTGTGATCATTTTCAGAGAATGGGGCAGATGGTTTGGCATACAGCTGAGTGCACAGTCAAGAAACCATGGCAGAACACACAGCAACTCACAAAAATTATACATTTTTTTCAACCAAGTACTACGTTTTTAACACCATTTGCAGAGTAATACATAGTGATCCTTTTCAGATACAGAGGTATGAGATAATGCATGATTGCACCCCCATACTTCCCATTTACTCAGGGTGCGGAATTATGCAACCACAGTCTAATTTGATCCTCAAAGATTCAGCTTCATGAGGCTCATGAGAAGGCATTCAGGCCCCAGGAAATGATGCCTTGATTCTCTATTGATTCCCAATTTAATTCCTGGCATTGGCGGGGGCTTTATACAGCCACGGGGTGTCTTCTACCGTATGGACCATGTATTCTGCATGATTGTGTCACCCTCCAGCTCTTGGTAAGCCCACCAAAGTCTGTCTGAGTGAAGTTTTGCCCAAGGCTACCTCAGCCTAAAGTCAGCCCTTCTCTTACGCAACAACTCAAAATTTCTGGGCACCCAATGCCTGCGATTCCTCCAATTTTTCAGTCTTTCTTATTTCAAATGATATTGTTCTACATGAGATGGGCAAGGATACCCCAAAGGTATAAGCATAGTCTCACAGAGTTTCTTTTACTATTTAAAATTAAATTACATGTTTCAATGAAGGTGGTTTGAAATATATTAAAATGAGAACAGAAGATCCAGATTATATACACTTAAGTACAAACAAATCAACCAACAAACAAGCAAACGCAGCAACAATCAGTGCAAAGGCATGGAATTTAAGTCCTTGTTTTCACAGTAGACTGTCATAGGACTTCTTAGTTCACATGTATGAATTCTCCACCTTCAAAGTGTTCCCTTCTTTGAAGTCCAGCTTGCTTTGTATCCATTTTGTTTTCTCTTCTTATTTTCTACATTTCTTCAGTTTCCTCCTTATTGTTTTTCTCCTATTGTCTGTTTTTAACCACTATTCTTTGTTCTTCTCCCCTCCACATACACACACATGGGGGGTGGGGTGGGGTGGGAGATTGCATCCTAAAATTCCTAGGTTGGATCCAGGTACAGACCTTCACCTGTTCAGACAGAAAAAGGCTGGCATGAGGCAGCAATCATCCATCACCAGTTCTGGGTCTCTAGAACAAGGAGCAAGAAGACCGGTTGTGGTTCCTCAACCCAATGAGATTCTTCAGATGCAGATGCAGAGACATTCTTTCTTCCAACTAGTCCAGAGATGCAGACCTTACAGTTCCCAAAAATATGCAAGGAGATACAGTTCTGGAGGTCCAGGGCTATTTCAGTGCATCTGAACACATTCCGCTCCATCTGCTTGGCTTCTAGCGAAGGACTGAGGAAGGAAACGTGGAGATGGATGGTCAGAGCAGGGAGCAGGTTACCAGTTCCTGAGGCCCAGCTCTCCCCAGAGTTTCCGTGTCTCTGCAGAAAAGCTTACGGATCAAAGAAGGCAAAACATAGATCCGTTCTATCCGGGTCAGGAAGTCCCAACATGAACGTTGCACAGCAGAGGAAGAGAAGTAGAAGATAATGGGGTCCAAGCTGGCATTGAAGGTGCTGGGAAGCAAGGCCTGGTCCCTCCATTCTGGATTCTCCCACTGGATGAAGCCAACCACGTGGGAGACATTGTAGGGCGAGAAGCAGATGATGAAGACAGACAAAGTGGCAGCCACCAGCCCCACGGCCCGTTGCTTTTTGCTTCTGCAGATGTGGGGCGAGGAGATCACAATCCTTATGAAGCCAAAGTAGCAGAAACAGGTGATCAAGGAGGGTACCAGGAAGAGGACGACACCCAGCTCCAGACGGACAGGGAGCAGGATGGACAACTGCTCCTTGGTGAAATTGTCATAGCATACGCTGGAATGGTTGCTTGGCAAGGAGTAATTGTCCCGCTGAAACTCAGTGATGTAGACAATGCTGCAGTGGGCGAATGAGCAGGCCCAGAGGCCAAGGCTCGCCACTACCGCATAGGCTGAGTGGCGTTTCAGCTGGTAGTGGATGGGATAGGCCACGCCCAGGTAGCGTTCCACACTCACTGCAGTGAGGAAGAGGGTGCTGGAGTAGATGGTGCTGAAGTACACGAGGCCACTGAGGGGGCACAGAAAAGTGGGGAGTGTCCAGCCGCCCGAGATCTCCTCAGCCACCTTGAAGGGCAAGAAGGCCAGGAAGCAGAGGTCGGAGAGGGTCAGGTTGAGGAGCAGGACACTGTTCGGGGTGGCGTTGGTCTTTATCTTCTGGATGAGAGCGCGCAAGGCCAGCAGGTTGGTGGGGAAGCCTGTGAGGATGGTGAGCAGGTAGATGGAGAGGTAGGTGCCCCGTGCATGGTAGTCTTCAGACATACTGGAGGTTTTTTACCTGGAAGTGGGAAGAACAGGGAGATGAGAGGTAGTTTGCAGACAAAGGAAGAAAGCGGGAATATATCTACTCCCAAATATTCTTCATGAAAATTCCCTCTAGAAATGTGGAAAGACAATGTCTGGGTTCAAATTTCACACTTAAATTTTGCCCATGGGTCAAGCGTAAATTGTCACTGAACTGTAGATTGCTGTTGAAATGTGGCTTATCATGTGGTTTGAACCCAGCTGTGCTACCAAACTATGGCATGTTAACCATGGGCAACCCATGAAAAGAATTGTGGTTTATTGGGTTGCAAACTGTTGATACGATTATTTGTTATCTCAGGATCTTGTGACATGTACTGCAGGGATATTGCATCCCTAAGGATCTACGAGTTAGGTTTCATCGAAGAAAAGCAGCACCAAAAAACCCTACAGGATTCATATGCACAAAGCCAAATTTGAAAGGAATCACCAAACTTTAAATAGAAACATAATGCAATATACCATATGCGCAATGGAGAAGCAGGTGTCTTGTGGTCCAGGTGCTAAGTATTGCTGGGCAGCTGCAAGGGCCCTGCTCTCCAATCCCTTTTAAGAGGTTTTTTTTTTTTTTTTTTGGTGCGGTGGGGTGGGGTGGGGAGCTTTAAACAGAACTTGGACTGGATGCCCCTTCAAAATGAGGACCATCTGTAAAGGAAGACAGGTAGCCGCACTGACGTGAGTTCCAGGTCATCTCAGGGAACTTAAAGGCACTTCTGCTTCTCTATTTGCTCTGCAAGTCTCCTTTAATCCACCCAAGAAATATATAAACCTGATTCTCCCCACTGAACTTACCACCCAGAATGACTCTTCATGAGCAAACAAGATGGTCAGGCTCTCTTGATATCAGTTGTGCCTGGAGGGCTGCCAATAACAGGTGCAGCGATTTTTATTGTAAAGCACACGTGCCTGGGGAAATAGAAAGAGCAGCCCTGAGCAAACTTGGAGGTGGCTCATTTATCCATCACGGTGGTCCTGGGCAAATATCTATGCCAGGCCATCTCAGTTTCTGCCAGATAAGTAAACGTGGGTTGTTAATTTTCTATTGCAGGTGCTTGGAAATGGCTGCCTGCTTATCTCTCTCTTTCCCCTTGTTTCTCTTAATGGCTGTTCTTCCCACCTCTCTCTGTGTGTGAACTTTAATTTGCAATGGCCTCCCTCCAACTCCTCTTCTCTTTCACTATCTACATTGGAGGAATGCAGGCAAAGACTCTCTTTATCTGCCTATTTTACAGACTTGTGGGTGGGAAGGTGAAAATCTAATATTTATTTTTGGGCTGGGGTGACAATGCCCTCCCAATTCTATAGTTCTATCTGAGGCCACAAAAGCGTTGTGAGTGCTGGGAGATCGTCTACAATTTAGGGGAGTGATCAGGAGCAGGAGGAAGGACATTTGAAGGAGCAAAGGGTGTTGCATGAGAAATGACCGCGGCAACAGCAGGGGTGGCCTAAGCAGCGTGTGGACATAACCTGGAGCAGCAGCCGTGGCTCGGTCCCACTGTCACGGAGGAACTGCAAAGCAGCTGTCCGTGGTCCTGAACCTGAAATTGGTGGTTCCAGAACCATTGATAGCTCCTTGAAAGTTTGGGCTGCGCCTCAGAGTGTATGAGCTGCCCCACTGGCCTTGGAGCTGCTGGCCTCCACTGTTGAAGAAAGAGTTCAGGTCTGATTCTGAATCACAGGAGGATCATTGAGATTCTAGTACTGAAGTGAAAACCTCAAGGTTGAGGAACTCAGAAAAGCCCGACTTAGCTGTTTACATAACACGAAGAATCACTTTAGATCTGAAGTTACAATGGAATGCTTCATGTCTCACCCATGACATAGGTCTCAAGGTGGTGGAAACTGGAGAATAAGATGAGGACAAAGGCAGAAGAAGGGGACATAACATCCAAAATAACATGACATTGAAGTCGGATGCTCTTAATTTAAACAACTAAGCCTCAAGAGAGGCATTCCTACCTTTCAGAATGTGAAAAAGCTTTAGAAAAGCTAGGGAATCACTGAACAATTGGTGCCTGGGGACATCTCCAGTTGGGGAACCTCGCAAGGGCTAATTCTGGCCTGGGAACACCTCAGGCTCAACACTCCCAAACTATTCCAGCACCCTGATATGGCCCAATATCCTCTACCCTGCAGGAGCCAAGCGAATGATTCCAGGAACCCCCAAGCCCAAGGCCATTCACTCTCCCTTGCTCCTACACCCCAGCTGTAGGGATTGGGCTTGCTTCTCCTAAAACAGGGCATTCCAAGGCTGTTTCCTCACAACACTTGCAAGGTAGGGGACGCTCAGAGAAAAGATTGGTCCAGGGTCGCTCAGAGAAAAGATTGGTCCAGGGTCACTCAGAAAGGATTGTTGCTGATGGAGGATTTGGACCTATATCTTACTGAGCTAAGACTAACATTCTTGTTACTCTTCTGCACCAGCAGCCACATGGGCTTTCACCACAGACATCTTGTGAGGTCTGGAAGGGAGAAGCAGCTCAGTAAAAGTTGCCATGCCACCTGGCAGAATTTGAATCAGTACATGGATCCTGCCTTTGGCCAATTGCTTTGGAAGTGCCAGGAAGCAGCAGATGGCTAGATTCATCACCAGAGTCATTTCTGTCTTGTGAAAAGCATATTTACAATGAAAACACGAGAAAGTCCTGTTTTTTTGGTGCTATCTGTGTAATGTTAATAATAACCCTCTCAGAAAGCAGAGGGAAAGGGTAAGGAGTCATGGCAGTGAGAAAGGGGCAGGATAACCATTTCCCATAACAAATGGTGACCCTAGGCCCATAGCTGGGACCCTTCACAGACCATAGTGAAAGCTGATCCATCTCAAATTTGCTGTTTGCTTTGAAAATAGGAACATTATATCTTGCTGATTTGCTTGTGTTATGTCTTTCTCCGTTTATCTGTTTACACAGAGATAACAGGGCGGAAGTTTGCAAAAGCTGCTCTGAGGAGTGGAAAAGAACTGCTGCATCTGGGGATTCAGATCAATCTTGGCCAGGGGATGCCCAAGATGCTGTTGATCTGTCCCTTCTGAGACTAACCAATGAATGGACTACCTAAAAACAAACCTTATCAAAGAGATTCCAAAGGACTAGGCTTACTTGTCTTCCTCCTGATCAGGATGAACTACATGTTCCCATGTTGAAAAAAGAATGAGCAGCTTGGCCATTTTTACTTTGGAGGAAAAGGAAGTGTGCCAAAAGGTGGAGGTATTTACATTGGCTTAATTTGGGATGAACCGATCAGGGGCCCACATCACTTTCCAGCTGAAAATCACTCCCTCTTTGTTGCTCTTTGCCCCGTGGCAGATGCCTACTACAAACTGTATCTGTGGAGGCCAATAAAAGGTAGGAGAGAAGATACTGCAGCAGAAACTTGGCAGGAAAATTGATCTTATTTCAGATTCCATTTCAGATCAAGATCCCAGGGTTGCTTTTTTGCTGAAAATAAAAGCAACAAGGATAAACAAGCTTATTTAAACATGTCCTAGGTAGCTTGTTTCAAAGGAACAAGCTGGATGTGAGCCTTGGTCCCTCTTCCATCTCTAAAATTGTCTATGAACCATCCAGAGAGCTTTGGCTATTGACTGGTATGGAAATGAACCAACAACAACTTGTTAAAAATGTCTCAAGAGTGGATTCTGATTAGAACCACAGCGATGGGGTTGAGAAGATCAGGCTGAAATTTCATGGTGCGGGGGCACACCATTGCCATTAGGAAATTGGCACATGGAGGAAAAAGTTAAACCTATCCTCTGAAGACATTTATGAAAAATTAGTTTCAGTATTTTTTTATCAGGATTTGTCCAGTTCACATCCTCAGGACTGAGCTTGGACTAGATGCAAACTGCAGTAAAAGTCCATACATTTCCAAGCTTGCAAGGTGATTCATAGGCCGAAACAAATAAATTTGACAATCTGTATGCATTTGGAATACACATATGGAAAACTTATGTATTTGAAAACTATGCACAAACACATTTTTGTCAATAGGAGATGCATGTGTACATCTGAAAAATATATACACTTTGGAAAACATGAAAACAAAAAGGTGGAGGGGAAGCAAAGCTCACAATTTGGAAAGAGATTTAAGATGGAATGCAGAGAACTCTGACACACCTGAGTTTTGCTGATTTCACGTGCCCAGTCTTCCCTCAGTCTTGATTCAGATCTGCCATGCTTCCCCAAGACTGTTTTTTACTTCCACCTACCCCCAAAAAGGGTCACAGGAAGCCTTTTCATGAAAGGGTATCCTCAGGATGTTTTGGACTGCATCTCCCATCAGCCCCAATCAGCATGGCTGTTGATCAGAAATGACGGGAGTCCAGCATGTTAGTTTCTCTTCCTCGACTTGGAAATACATCCCTTTGGGCTCCCTGGAATTAGCTTGCCCTGTGAGTCTCCTCTGGCAGGGATTAATTTAGCTGAGCATGAGCTTCCGAAGCACTTAATAGTCATGGCCACAAAATAAGGGCTGCTGCAGCCTTGCCATTGCAGACCAAAGCTCTGAACATCCTCGGCCAGCATGGGGACTGCCCAGCTGGCTGGGATTTAGGGGAGTTGCAGGAAGACATCTGGAGGCGGACTGTTGTATCGCTTGGTGGTGATAAATGGGAGACACCAATCAAGGTAAAACAGCTGTCCGACATATGGACTTTTGGGGAATTACGCACCAGTCTGGTCTGTCTGCATCAGTGATGGTAGTGCAGTGGAACCAGGGCACTCGGGATTGGAAAAACCACCATTGATTTATTAGCAAGGATACTGACATCATCTGCCAGCTCATCTCAGAACTCCTTATAACTTTCGAGCTAATCCTAATTACTTAGCTAATTCTAAATTTAGTTTTGCATAGCCATACATCAAGCTAGCCTGTCAAGGCAGCTTTGCTAAGCTGAAAACACGCATTCCCACAGCAGGATGGGAGACCACATGCGGAAGCAGAGCAAGGAGTTGGAATTGATGGCCTTATAGGCCTTCCGCTCTCTAGTAGCCCTGTGAAAATGACTTTCCCCCAGCAACCATACACTGTTTCCCTTTGTAATGCAAAGGATTTTGGAGTGGCTTGGTCTTGAAGGAGCAATTAAAACCCATTATTTTTGCAAGGGACATACTCCTGGTGGAGGCAGATACTGCCTGAACTGGCTGTTGGATACAATTCAAAACAACTGCTTGCATTTTGAGGCTTTCCTTGGGAGCACAGCTATGGGAAATATCAAGATGAGCACCCATGCTTCAAATTTTGCCATTGCAGCATCCATCAGGGGTTTGTTGACATCAGTTGTTTGGCTCATGTTTTCTGCCTTTACGTCTGTCCCATCCTGTGCTATTTTATTTGTGAGACTGTGTGCCACAGTTTTATAAGCACAACTGTGTGTATCCCACAATTCTTATGAACTACAGGAAAGGAGGCAGAGGGGAAAAGACAATTCAATTTACTGAGACTTTCATCTTGCTGTATTTTCTTCACGCTGTGCTAAGGTGGCTACATATTGATCGTCTGGCACAGTATGTAAGTCAAAGCTCTTGGCATTTTCATGAGCAAACGGTGCGCTGTAAATGAGTATGCATTGATCTGCATTACTTTTGCAAATTTATTTTCCACTTTGGGGTCAGTGGGATTTTATTTTTCTGTTGCTCCTCTGTTGCAATATTTGTTTTTTTTTTCCTTGCCGTTCGCGTAATTGCTTTTCTTTCAATTTGCAAAATGCAGAGAAAGAGAGACACCTCACTGCTTTACCCTAACTGTAAAGTTCACGCAAACAAAAGCACTGTGCTTGACTCATAAGCAGTATATTACCCTGAATTTATTGGCCAGAAGAAGAAATGATCCCTCTGTTGACATTTGATATCAAGCACTGTTAATAACAGCACAACT